TTTTTGTTTTCACGTCATGTTCTACACAAAACATAAAAGAGAAAAAAAAAAACAAACAAAAAACGAATTTTGCCCCCGGCCCTGGTGCAGCCCACGGCTCGCTACTCACTTTCTTTCCTGCATCTTTTTGAGCTCGATCTCTTCGAATCTGTGGAGAAGCAGAGACCCAGACCCACCTGCTGTCCAGCGCTGGACCAAAGCCAGCCATCTGGTCGCGGAGAAGGCAGCCGTTCGTGACGGTGGTACCGGAAGAGGTAGCGACTTCTCCTGGCTGTCATCATCCCTCTCTGTTTTTTTTCCAGCTATTGGCCTCAGCTCCGGCTTCGGGTTTGGTTGGCGCCTGGCTGGCCGCAACGTGCAACCGACATGAGACACAGAACAGGCTTCTCGGGCGGCTGGGTCCCAGAGGGAGAGAGGCCAGAGGGGAGATGAGTGGGTTTCAGAGCCCCCAGGTTAAGAATGAAGATCCCGGAGTCAGAGCCCTGGGTTCGAATCCTGCCTTCATCCTTCACTTACACAAACGACGCCTAGTGATTTACTTAACCTTTCGAGTCTCAATTTCCTTTGTCTATAAGAGGTGACGATAGTAGCACCTGTGTTAACATGTAACTTATACTGAGTGCTTATAACACGCCAGGCACGTTCGCAAGTACCAAGCCTGTTCTCTTACCCATCATTCTGCCTCCTGTGAACGAGATGCTACACACAAAGCGCCCCCGAGAAACGTTCGCTGTGCACACGAGGGACCATCTTTGCCGGTGCTTTCCTGGCTTTGGCATCTCTCGGCTGGCTGAATCTCCCTTCCCTTCCCTCTCCTCCCCTGCCCCCTCTCATGTTCAGATTTTGGCCCCGAAATTCCACTTTTTTAATGTCAACTTTTCCCTGCTTTCCAGCCAAAGGTCCTTCCTGCGGTGTTCACAGGAAGATTAGCTATTTCGATATTACTTGCTAAGGGACGGCTTCGGCTTTGAGTAAGGGGAGCCGATGTAAATGTTATGGACAAAGACAGTAATGCAAACGTCTGCTGAGGCGGCTCCTCCGCGTGGCCTGCAGGCCCTCCACGCCCATGTGCTGGCCGGGCCAGGCCAGGCGAGGCCGCGTGCCAGCCGTTTGGCCGTCCCCGGGCTGTCCCCCCTCTGGGTTTTGGGTCCAGCCTTTCCTCTGTCCTCTCTTTTTCTCTCTCTGTGTAATTCCGTCGAAGGAGCAGGACTCACGGGGTGAACTCTCTGCCTCCCCTGGTGCCTTTCGCAGCCTCGCTGTGGGCTGGCTCTTCCCTCGCTCCGGGGTGGGGCCTCTGGCCGATGCCATTGACCTTTAGGATCACGCTCGGACAAGAGGTTCCTGGTCCCTTAGGTTTACCGGTGTTGACGACTTGCTTCTGTAACCGGAAGGCGTCTCTCTGGACCTCGGCCCGCCTTCTCCTTTCCACGTGGGACCAGGAGGGGGAGCATCTTCTCCGTCGGCCCTTTGGGGCTTCCCCTCCTCCCTCACCCACAAAGCCGCCTCTGGTTCCGGGATGGGGCTGCGGAGGGAGGAGAGGGAAGCGGCAGGCAGGTTCTGCTCTCCCGTTGCCCAGGAGCTTCTGGGCGTGGCAGGGGTGATGCTGATGGGCGGGCGGCCGCTGCCCGCCAGCTCCTCTCTGCTGGGGCTCCCTCACCGCCAGGGGGCCCTCTTGGACGGGGCTCCACAGCCCGGGGAGCCAGCGCTCCCTCTCAAGACTCACCCGGCCCCTTCGTCCTTCCCGTTACAGATGGCGATGACGCTTTCCTGGTGTGTATGCGCTTCTGCTCAGTCGCTGTGGTTGGTGAGGGGAGTTCGATGACACCTTCATGGTCGCGGTCACCGTTTGTCCAGTCTGACTTCACGGCCGGGTTTGGCACCGTCGCGTCCCCTCTTTCCCGCCTCCCCTTGGGTCCCCTGCTGCCCGGGCGGTGTCCTCTGCCCGCCGCCCCGACCTCTCCCTCCTCTGCCCAGCCCTTCGCCTTCGCCCGGCTCCTGTCGTCCACAGCGGGGCTGCCCATCCTGTTCGCTGCTGTCGCTCAAACCGCCGGCTCTGTGCCACCGGCGCCCGAAGCCACCGGCTCCCTCTCCGCTAGGTCCAAACGCTAACAGCCTTCGGGTGCGCTTTGGTGCCCCAAACGGATTTCGCAGTCTCGGAATCTGTCCCCTTCCACGTCTTTCTCGCGTGCTCCGACTCTGTGAACCCAGTCACCCAGTGTCCCCGGTCACCCAGACATCCAAGCCAGCATCCGAGACCATCCCCCCTCCTGCCTCCCGCTCAGCCCCACACCACATGCTGCGAGGACCTGCCAGTTCCGGCGCTGACCCAGCCTGGGCTTCAGGGGCCGGGTGAGCCACCGCGGCTGCCTTCACTGATGACACCACTGTCACAGGTCTCCCAGAGCACCCCGGCTCTAATCCGTTCCCCACAGCACGGACACAGTGAATTTTACAGAACAAAAGTCTAATTTTATTGTCACATTTAAGTGGAGGTTGTTAGTTGGGTCCATAAGATTCTTTCCGTTCAGTCTTCTGCTTTTACTGTAGATTCTGGGGCTAAACTACTTGTGGTTTCCCCCCAAAACGCGCTGGACTTTTCGGACTGCCAGTCCAGTCCTCCATCCTCCAACCTTGAACTCATCAGAACGATCGGTCCGACCCTCCCAGGCTGGTAGGCGTCCAGGCCAAGCTCATTCTGAGACTTTATTCTCATGTGTCGTGGTCATTTAGTTCCCGGTTCCTCTTCCTCACGTGGATGATCTGCTGCGAGGCCGGGAGCCACCGTTTTCGATCTCCGTGGCCCTCGTCCCCAGCGCCTTCCGCAGGCTCGGTCCCTGCACACGGGACACAAGCCTGAGGACCGCGTCCTCGCCAAGCGTGCGGCTGCGGGTCAGGAAGTCTCGGGGGACTTTAGGTGACTTAAGATTGCTCTCGTCAATTTCTGAGATCACCGTGCTTTTCGAAGTCTTCATATTTTTTAATGAGATGAGAGGAGGCAGGGATGTGTTTTCCTGAGGACCGGCTTATGCCACCAGGGGGCAGCACAGGCTGGGGCGGCAGCGGCCGCAGAGACAGCCCCGGGCGATGGGAGGACGGACGGACAGACGGGACGGAAGGGGCACTTCTGGCTGCAGGGTGACCAAAGGAGGCCCAGACCTGCCCAGTGCCAAGCAGAGAATGTCAGCAGTCAGCGACCCAGGGTCCTTCCCCAGAGCTGAGCGTCCTGGTGCAGGAAGTGTTCGGGCAGCAGCTTGTGACGGGCTAGTCCCCGATGCATTACCCCAGCGTCCAGGGCCGTGTGGCTTTGTCCCAGCAAAGAGGCCACGCGGGGGCACTGGGCTCAAGATGGCTCATCATCGGCCTCCAAGAGCCACACGTTTGGCCTGGCCTAACCCGGGAGCTAGGGAGACGTGATACGGGTGGCTATGCCCGTGCCCGTCGAGCGTTCGGGGGCTGGCCGGTCTCCGTGGTCCCTTCGGGCCTGACATTTCGCTTCTGGGTGGGGACGTCGGGCCCCAGGGGCTTGCATTGGCCCCTCCTTCCCTAGCAGGTAGCCCTTACCCAACGTGACGCAGAGAAGTTGTTGCTTCTCCCAGCTGTCAGGGTCCTCCGTTCCAACCCGTCACCCAGCCTCAGAACTGGTTTCGGTGCAACCGGCTCGATTCCTGGGTCAGCACCCGTCACAATTCCAATTATCACCGGACGCCGATGTGGCTCGGATGGAGATCTGGCCTCCGTACTGAAGTATTAAAACTGTTGGCTTCCCCGGTAAACTGAGGCTGAAACTCAGGGAGAACATCCTTAGTCCTTCTGCACCTGTGTTACGGTACCTGCCCCACAGGGACTCGTCCAGTGGCCCTTAAAACGTGGGGCTCCCAAGATGCTTTCAGCAGGGCCCATGAGCAGAAACGATTTCCGCACCGGCGCCATCTGAGTTTTTCACTCACGCTCGGGCAGGCACGCTCAGTCGAAATCGCGTAGGGGCCACATGGCACGTGCTGCATTCTCGCTCGTGCATACTGTTTTAGAATGTTCATTTTTAATTTTTAACATAAAAATATCGACAGATAAGAGTCAGTCTCCATGTCCCCTCCATCGCAGAGTCCTTCTCAGGAAAAGATAGACGCTGGGTGCAGAGGTGGGCTTGGGGACAGCTAGCCCTTGGGGACCCTGAGGGCGAGTGGCCAGGAAGGAAAAGGACACTTGGCCCCGATCGCCTCCAGGGACCTTCCAGGGTTCCCCGCTCTGCCTTTGTTTTCCTCTCGGGCCCCGATTTGTCCCCCTGCGGCTTCCTCCTATCCCCAGTGAGACAGCAGAGACGCGCCCGTCAGGAGAGAGATGTTTTTATTGAGAGACAGGGAGGAAGGACCATCGCAGCGCGTGGAACGCTGTTAACGGATTCGTGGGCCAGAGGGAGGGGTGAGCTTCGTTAGGGGCGGTGGCGGTGATTAGGGGGGGGCACAGAAGACCTCGTCGCCGTCTCGAGAGTGTGCAGTGTGCTGTGAAGGACTCTGGAAGATTTTCGATCGATTCCAACAGTTTTCTTTTTAAAAATTTTCCAACTGCGTTTGCTCCTGGAAACCTTTAGAAAGTTGTCGAACCCCAGAAAGGCGGGTGGCAGAGCGAGAACAGCTGTGTCTTTGTAGTGACGTCGTCCGACCAGCAGGAGGCAGTGTGGCGGAGCGGACAGCCCCAGGGGCGTCCAGCCTGGCCTGACCCCAACAGAACACAAGAGCAGACCAGGTCTGGCCTCCAGGGAAGGCTCCGAGAACATGGCACTTCTGTCGACACCGTGGGGTCTCCTGGGAGCAGTCGTAGGCTTGAGGAGGAAAAGCCTGGAGAGACTATGATGGTGTTTTTCTTCCTGAGTCTGAAGAGTCAGCGTCTTCTAGGTGGCGTGTTTCCTGTTGTTGCAGAAGGTGAGGGGGTGGGGGTGGGCAAGGGGCACAGAATCTTCATGAGCAGGTCGGGGAGGGTGGCTTCAGATGTGTCACTTCTGCTTAGGAGGGTACTCCTGCTGGCATGGGGGGCACGTAATAGGGGCATACTTCTGCTGGCTGGGGGGT